TGTGCAAGTCTGATTCATGCACGATGCAAGTGGGTGTGGAGCTACTCCATTTGATAGCTTTGTCATAATGAGTGAAATTCATTAAATTAAAAGTAACATATCTATGGACGAAGACTTGACAGATTATATAAACAGAGAAGTTAAGTTTGAAAGTGCTTTAGCCATTTTCAATAAATAAATCTTCCAGCTCAAACTCCCCCACATCATTCAAACTTGAATTGGTCACACTCATTTAATAATTTCATGATGCTACCAAAATCCACATAGCAACATCTGGAATGTGATCAACAAAAAAATTTATGGCAAATGTTGCAGACTCAAACCGAGAGATAAACACAGCCATAACTTCACTTTTCTTGAATATGAAAGTCATGTCATAAGTGATGACGTACATATACATTAAGAATAAATAAAGAACATGCAGAAAAGTTAGGCAAAAACATAGACCAGTGCAGTAAGACGAAATGGCACCGATTAAATTTATTTATAGGTACCGATTCTACAACCGGTGCATATACAGACGAGATAAAAAATGATAAGTTTTATGTCTCAATTATGAACCGAGTAAAAATAAATAGGATTATGCCTCGGTTTTTAAGTAACCGAGACAGTAACGTGTTTTTTTTAATTTTTTCAACCATCCTCGACCAACCCAGAGCCTGTTTCATCGCACAGGAAGAAGAACAACACACAATAACATTTCAGAAATTCCAACATACACCACAAAGCAATACACAACAAAGCAATACACAACACAATCGCACCTTCATTGCACAATATACAACATCATCAACAAAAGAGAAGCTTCGGAGGCATCGGCGTGCCCCAGATCTGACGGTACCGGAGGCATCGGCGAAGGCGACCCTCGTCGTTGGGGGAGAAACGCATGATGGTGGCTGAGGGGGAGGCGACCCACTCGTCGTTGGGGGAGAACGCGCTATGGTGGCTGTGGCGGAGGCGACCCACTCGCTCTTGGGGGAGAAACGCGCGATGGTGGCGGAGGCGACCCACTCGCCGTTGGGGGAAACGCGTGATGGTGGCCGAGCGGAGCGGAGGCGACCCACTCGCTTGCGCGATGGTGGCCGAGGAGACGATGGGCGATGGTGGCCGAGGAGACGATGGGCGACCCACTCGTGCATCTGATTCGATTGAACAACGACCCATTGGGATTTTCTAATTTAGGGTTCATGCGCGATTCTGGTGGCACCAACGACTATGACAGTGGGCGACGACAGCAACGACTACAAAGGTGAGAGCGACAGCGACGAAGGACGAAGCGAACGACACGACGAAGGACTCGCAACGGCGACGCTGGTGGAGGCAGCCCTTGGGGAGAACAACGGTGGTGACGGCAAAGACGAAGCAGCAACGCGAAGAAGAAGAACTGAAGAAGCAATGAAGAAATGAACAGCAGTGGCAACACGAAGAGAAACAAGAAGAAGCAGAACCGGAGCGTGAGAAGAAATGAACCAACTCTGAGAATTTTGAGCCTATATGCTTCGTTAGGAAGGAACCGAAGCTGAAGATCGTTTTGTTCAGGCTTTATGCCTCGGGTCTAAGTTGACTGAGGTGTTAGCTCAAGCTTTCTGCCTCGGGTCTGCAGGCAACCGAGGTAGTATCACCTTTTCGTAAAGTTGTCAGTCCAAATTCTGAACTCGTATCACCTTTTCATGAAGCTGTCAGCTTTTAGGCACCGACTATGCTTCGGTTTTGTGTGCAACCGAGGTTGTATCTAGGTTTTGCACCGGTTCAGCGTGCAACTGAATTATATAAGATCGGCTTTATTACAAACCTGCCATCGCCTTGTGATAGACAGCGGTTTGATGTCAAATGAAGTATAATGTGCGAGTTTAAAAGCCAATATTATTCCTCCTTAAACATTTTTATTTATTTTTTTCCTAATCATTCATTCATTTTTATTGCATTTATTGATTAAATATTAATATTTTGTTTTCTTTTTATCTAATTGACCCTTTAAAAAGTAATAAACACCTTTACACAGACTGATAGGGTATAAATTTTAAAGGGCGTGGGAAACTGAGGAAAATTAAAGAATAGTAAAGAAAAAATATTTCAGAAAAAACAAAGATTAAAAGAGGGTTAAATATAGTACGCTAAATCTTTAAATTTAGTCATGGTAGTAACTTCTCAAACTTTGATAGTATTGTAATTTTTTTAAATGTGTTAAAAAATGAATGAAGGCAAGTTTTTTAATGATAATGAATATTAACTTTTTTTAAGGTATTAATTGATGTTTTTTAAAATAATATTTGACTTCACGTTGAAAATATCAAATAATATACAAAGTAATCAAATGTGAGTTTCTTGAAAGCTGTGGTTTAACATAATAAAAAGATTTTATTTTAATTTAAACACAATTACTTCAGATAAATTATATATATATATATATATATATATATATATATATTTAAAATAATAAGTCAAACTATATTAAATTTTAAGAAAAATAATGTTGTGTAAAAGTTAAGACTAAACCTTGATTAAGAGTTTAAAATCATATGAATAAAAGATTATTTAAAGAATAATTTAGATTGAATATAAACCTAAATGTTATATGTAAATACGGATAAAGTTTTAAAATCAATTTATATAGAATTAATTAAATAATGGGTTGAATATATTTTTTTATGTGTCCAAATTATTTTGTGTTAACACGTAAGTTGTTTACGTCTTTTTGATATATTTTTATTTAAATATTTACTGAAAAATATTTAAAATGTTAAAAATTAAATTTACATAATTAGGTTAAAATAAATATGTTAATTATTTTTAAAATTTGAAAACTAAACTAAATCACAAACAATTACAAATTTTAATCTAATGTGAAAGTGAGAAAAAACATATTTAATCTTTAAATTCATACATTATAATTTGGTTAATGAGTATGCCGGTTCATTTTGTCTGGTCATTGTGATGATACTGAAAGGACTTTGAGCATATATGGTTATAAAAGGCCTTCTTGTTCTTGACAATCAGAATCACGTGCATTTTTGGGGCCACATTTAAATTAAATTTAATATGCAGATGGCAACTAACTTTTTTAGTTGTTAGATAACAGATAAAATTTTAAAAAGTGGGGAATATCAAATCATATCATATGCACTGAATGAATCCTAATCCCAATCGTCCAACCTCCATTGTTTGGTAGTTGCTGCATCCCAATGCCACTAATTACATTTTTAATCTATCAAATACCCTAATTACATTTTTAATCTATCAATCCACTTTCCACTTTTCAAATTTCAAAAACATTATTTTATTTCATACTATCAAATTTACTGTTTAAAACTAAACTAAGAAAAAACACTTTAAATATGCTTTTTTCCTAAATACAATTGCTCAATCTAATTTAAATTTGACCTTTTTGGCCATTAAATTTAAGATAAGGTCATATCATGCGAAATGAACAACTAATGTTTTGGATAATTATAATTTATTAACTTCAACAGTAACACACTACTCCATAAATTGTATTATGGGTACAGGTGTAGCGCGTATAATAATACCATTTGATTTTTATGTAATCATCATATTTAAAAAAATAAATAAAATATACGTCTTCATTAATTTTTATTTGTTTCTTGAGGTTATTTTACACATTAGAAAATATAATCATTTTTCTTGATTTTAATAAAATAGTTGTAAAATTTTATTTCATTTTATACTCTTTGTCTCTCCATTTCCACACAAGAAAAAAAAATCCCACTTTTCTTGTTACAATATGTATTTTACACTATTACAGTATGTATTTTTGTTATACAATACATATATTTTAGGAATACTATTAATTTATTAGTAAAATTTAATGCACCTAACTAATTTTTTTTAATATATGTAAGCTGTTTTTTTTCTTATGTATGAAAACATAGAGAGTATTGTAATTGATAAAAGTAATTAATGTATTATTTAAACTTCGCAAATGACATATCAATAACAATAAAAAATATTTCTAACAATTTGACACTAGAAAATAAATGTAGATTATTTAATTTTCAAAAAAATAGAAAAAAGATATAAGTATCGCGTACCTTGACAAACTACACTAACAAATTATATGGGGTTCGATTTATTAAAATATGATTCAAGAGAGAGACGAAAGATGAAGAAAAAAAAGAGAAGAAATTCGAGAGTATGACAGAATCAGAAATAATAACTCAATTATGGAAAATCTAGATATTTGGTTTCAGAAACTCAATTAGGAATTGGGATTTGAAATGAAATTATTTAGTATAAACTTGTTTCAACATTGATTGAAAAATTTGGATATGAGTAAAATTAATATTTAATTTTTTAAATTTAATATAGATATGGGGATGAGAATAAGCATCCACGTTCTCCTCTGGGCCTTTTTTATATCCGATCCCTTTTAAATTATCCAACGACTCTCTCTTTTAGATAATTTAAAAAATTTATATTATTTTTATTTTATCTTTGTGACTTATGTATAGGATATATTCGATCATTTTTATTTTGTTTACCACTATTTGTCTTTTATTCAAATATTATTTGATATTTTTATTTTATACTTATATAATTATTGTTTCTTTTTTATATTTAATTTTGATTTATATATTAATTTTTATAATACTATATTTTTCTTTGTCGTATGACTGATTGTTTAGAGTCAACAATGATATGAAAAAAAAAACTGAAGTAATGGTTTGAAAGTGTTGAATTTCCCATAATGAACATATCACTCAAAAATAATGAAACAAACTCAATCGGAGGGGAACACATGAATTATATTCATAAATCCAACACATACTTAAGAAACAGATAGTTTAAACACAGAGCTATGGATTTAATTAGTTACTCATAAAAATAAATGAATCCAAAAGACCAATTTAAACATGAGAAAAATACATAATTAAAAATAAGTTAAAGAGAAAGATATAAAGCCTTTCTTTATCAAATAGATAGTTATCTTTATTTCGTTTCCAAGATTAATGACAAAAATAGACATATAATTAAAGTGAAAGTTAGTCAAGCCGAACATAATGTGCTGAACTTCTTTTATATTATTAGTATATATAGATTAAAATGAATAATGATTATCATGTCTTACAATATATATATATATATATATAAAAGTAATAAGAAAGTGATATCAGATGAACTGGTACATATATTTATGGAGAATAGGAGGTACGAGCTTTCTGTAAACACTTTCAGAAGGATGAAAACCATCCCAAAAAACGTAGTCTCCCGCATTCTGGCACGTGGGGTCCAAAGAGTTGCAGAACACTGCAGTCTCTATTTTGCCCGTACCACAACATCCTCTGTCTCCCACTTTAAAACCTGCAATGCAATCACAAAATTATAAATTCAACTTTTCTTATATTTTTTTTACTTCACAATTTTCTTTTATAATAAGGGAGAAAGTTGAAATTACCATAATTTTGGTAATTTACAATGATATCAAGTAGAGGGTTGTAAACATCAAGGTAAACCACCCTGGCATTAGGCAAATTCTGGTTAAGAGAAGCCAACTCCTTAGCCAGTTTGCTGTTGAATAACTTGGCCGCTTCGTTATACTTTTCTGCACATTTTCTGAGCAATCCTCCCAAAATCGTTCTCTGAAATGGCACACATCCAATTGGTGGCGCACTGAATACTCCTATCCTCCGAGCACCTAATTGATATATTTCCTTTCAATTATATTGAGAATAATTAATGTATGTACATTTTGCCCACACAATTAATAAAAATTGCATATATTCTTTAATTTCTGAGATTAGTTAAACTTTCTACATACCTTTAAGAAACTAGAAGCTGAGCTAACCATTAGGTCAGTGTAAGTAGGAATATCATATTGCACTTCTCTAGCATGACTCAGAAAGTAAGTGTTGGAAATGTCGTTGCTGCCTTCCACCACAAGGACAATGCTATTGGCTAGGATGAAGTTGGTTCTGTCCTCCCCGACAAGTCCTTCAAGCTTTCTTATGTAGTCTTTGAACATGTCTATTTGACCAGACAATGATATAGCTGTCTGGCATTAAAAATACATGTTTCTGTTATCAACCAAAATTTAAGAGCTGATGGAGAAGAATGAAACTGAAAGTATCCGTACCGCCATTTTAGATGTGAGAGGATCGTAGCCTGAACCACCAGATGCAAAACAGACACCGGTGAGGAGATCATTAGGTTGGAGATTTGGATCGAAATATGCCGGTAGAAGATCCTTAATTCCTAGTTCTTCAGCTGATCAGTGATCATATAACAATAACAAATCTTATCACTCTCGTCAACAAGTTCAATATAAATGAATTTCATTTATTATCCGTTTATGTTTCTCCACCCTCAGAAAACAATTGTACAGCACTTTAAAAACATTTTGTTCTGTTCCGATATCTTTTTAACCTCGTAAAATTAATATTTTTTAATTGATAATATTAGTTATTAATATTTATTAGTGAGAGCATTGAATAAAATTAATATTTTTTCATTCCTGTATGCTTTTTACCTTTTAATGGACGTTGCTATCAATCGATTACTGAATTAAATTGTTAATAATAAAATGAAAATATATTTTTCTACTATATGAATTTGTTTTGCTATGATTGATAACCATTATATTTGGTGTTTTCATTGACATATAACAAAGAATAATGATACGAAAGAGCTTACTTCCTACATGAATGTTATCTCCGACATGAATGTTAAGACGTGGATTTTAAACTTAATTCAACTCCACAAAATCAGTTTGTATGATGAGATTTGCACCCCATTTATATATTATAATTTGGCTTTATCTCTAGTCGTTGTGAGACTTCTAACACACTCCCTTCACGTCGAGATATAAACATCTCGATCGTGAGAGTAGAACTAATGGGTGGTTCGACAACGAGTGAAACAGAATGCCTATGTAAATCTCGCTAGGAAAGGTTCCAACTATGACTCTGATATTATGTCAAGAAGTGAACTTTAAGCCTAACTTAATCCCACAAAATCAACTTGTAGTCATTCGCATTAAACACCTTTGAAGTTGATAAATCTTGCAATACTAAGAATGTAATGAGATATGAGATTATTGAATATGCATTGAACAAATTGATGAAAGAATGCACAACAAAAACTCAAATTATGGTATCAACCATTTCAAATATAAAATGTTAAATTTGGTTTTTCTAAATTTGACGATATTAATACACTTCAATGCATATTTAAGGGCAACAAATTTTTTAGTTGCTACAAAACTTCATATGAACAATGTTTAATCATTGTTGCAAAGTGCTTATGTATTATATTTATTAGTTCAATTCTTAGTTGGGTTTTCTTAAAATTCTTGAATTAGAAAATTCAGACTTCTTTTTCGTATGAATGTCCTAGTTTTCGTATGTTTAAGTTACTCAAATAAACTCAGTTGATAAGTATTATATAAAGTTTACTACTTTGCTTAATTAAGCTATAGGAATTTCAAATAAAACTCTTTTGAATTATTTTATTGTGGGTTTAAAACTGAATGTTAGATTTTATATCATTGACCAAACTTCAACGATATTAATTTTCGATGCATTCACCAAATATTCGACAAAAAATATATTCCTTAAACTAGAACTTATAAGACACCATATTTTCCCAAATCACAAGCCACGCTCAATGAACCAATTTTCGAAAGTTGAAATTCAATAGTCTCTCCCATTCTTACCTACACCTCCTACTACTAAGATGAGGTTAAGATAAATTCTCAAATTGAGATGAAATTGTGTAGTTCTTACAAGTTTTTATTAGTATTCGTTAATAGAAGAGTTGAATCATAACTTTTCTTGTCTCTTTTATTAAATCTATCAATCTATCAAATCAATCATATAATTCTTAAATATGAGTAAGAGAGTTGAACTCACAATCTCTTTTACTTTCTTAACTTTATTTATAAATTAATCTTACATCTCTTATCTTACAATATTTCTATCTAATGATTTATTTAAAGTGAAAGCAATACACACTTTCAAATTACTAATTGAAACTATTCCTATTTTTCTCACGTGTAGCTAATAGATTGATTAAAATTTTGGTAATTAAAATTGAAAAACATTTCTAGTAAATTACTTGTGTATCTCTCATTTATAACCAAGTAATATATTTAAATTAAAAAAAAATTCAGAGGAAACGATTGCTATAAAAATGACTGATTAATTCAGTTATTTAAAAGTGCTTTATAAAATAATTTAATTCAGTTATTTAAAAATGCTTTATAAAATAATAATACGACATGTATCTGTATTTTTGTTTTGAAATTAATTATGATGCACTAACCTTAATAGGATAATTGTAATTAAAAGAATGAATGTTTAAGATGTCACTTCAAATTCATTTTACATTTTTCTTATAAAAATTAAAATTAAAAATAAACATTTTAAATACGTCACAATTTTACTATGATAATTCGTTTAATGGTTAAAATATAAAAACCTAACAAATGATAGTTTAAAAATGTAATGGTTTAAAACAGCGAAGACTGAATTATTTTAATATTAAAGAGTTTTAATATGAATAGTTTACTTATAAATGGTTTTCATAATTTTAAAATACATGATTTCTCACTTTTTTTTTATCATATTTTAAATTTTCTCTAAGAGTTCTCGTTCCCTATTTATCTGTTTAAAGATTGGAGACCACTTAAGTAATCATCGCTAGGAGATCTTCAAGTTTAGCCGATCGGTTTATCAAGACAAAGTAAATTGATTTTCTGTTAATTCCTTTGGTCAATTTTGTTTTCCTTGCATGCTAGCTCTATTTGTTTTTCATGTAGCATTTGACTCTTTTATAAGACTCTTTGTTAATTAGTGGTCATAACGGTGTACCCTGATCATGTTTTTGTGATTCGTAGGAGTACATAGGACTTCCTGTACGTTTATAACTATTTTAGGCTTCCTAAAACAATTTAGTCTTCTATTAGGTAAGAGAAGCTAAATACTTCTTTTATATTATTTTAGTGCTTTGATAATCTGAGTTAGTATATGATTGAGTTTGATTTATAGATTCAGCTTGTTTAAGATTTTGTTGTGTTGTGGTATACTTGCTTGAAGTTAATCTAAATGTGTGTTGTCTGATATTGGAAGAAACTTGCTATTTGCTTGCTAAATATGCTTAATTCTTGTTACTACGCTCCTTGTTTCATAGTAGTCTTTGTTTTCTATGTTTTCTGATTTTTTATTTGACTTAGACGGGTATAAATTGATTCGATGCATGATTATTTTCTAGTTGGAATGGATAATAGTACTCATGTATGTGTTATATGTATGATGATGTTCAAATGAAATGGAAAGTGTGAATTAAGTATGTTGTGAAAGGGATTCCAAGGAGAAATCCTTATTGTTGTTATGTAGTGTGATGTATTGAATGAGGGACTCCAGGATTGGGGGATGATTCTAACACTCTTAGTAGCTTTCAATCTCAAGTAAAGAATAATGGTTGTGTATGAAGAGTAGCAGGTGGTCCTTAGCCTGATGATCATGTATTGACCATAAATGTTTAACGAATTAACCTTGGTGTGTGATAGTTTGATGTGGGTGGTTTGCTTCACCAGACACTGGACAAACTCCCCATGTGTCAAACATCATATTTATTATGATTGAAGTCTAGAGTTGATAAGTTTATTTTTGTATTGTTTGATTTGAACAATTATTGATATACTAATGATTTAAAATGTATGAATGTTCATTTATACTTTTGCTTATATCCAACTTTTTTTGTTTTTGTGTGTTGTTTTTTTACCTTAATGGTATGAGTAAAGGAAGATATCTCTCGTGAGCATGTCTTAGGTGGTGGTGAAACTAAGGCTTAGAGTCGAACATTTTGTCGTTTTTTTTTTGTTTTGTATAGATTAAATCACGCTTTTGATTTAATGTAGTATATTTCCTTATAGTGTATGACTGTGTATATATTTTACTATTATATATTATATGTTTTTTTAAGTTAATTGATTTGTATTATTAGAAATATAATGAATCTTATAATAGTTGAAGAATATACAAAATTAAGATGTTACATAAAATATCTCTAATTACAATATTTGATCACTACAACATTATAATAATTGAAATGCACACGAAAAAAACTTATTTAAAAAATTAAAATTAAATTAAATTTGTCATCTATTAGTATTAATATGATCAATTGCATTACCAGATAAAACATTACATATAATATAATAATTCAAATAAAATATTGCAATATAAAATGTCTAAATAATAATAAACTTACATATTCACATCTTATACAATTAAAAAGAAAATAAAATGCGTTTTATGTAAAAAAAACTAAAATAATAAAAGTATAATAAATAATGTTTTATGTATAAAAAATGGATAAATATTTTAAAATATATGGAAATTAATTATAAAAACAGAAATTGTGGAAATATTAATTAATTATCTAACTTTAAGAACTAATTCATTAGTTATCTGACTTTCAAAGATATATAAATTCGATTTTATAACAGTATAAATATCAGAAAATGTTAAATAAAAAGAAATAGAGAAGGAAAGAATAATGTACCTATAAGATCGGAAGGAACTTTTCCGTTACCGAATCGACCCGTCGGAATGGCTCCTTGGAAGTCTCTACCATAGGGAGGGAAATTGCACTTTGCAAGCGTATGCGTGTTGTTGTTGTTGTTGCCGGTGTCCATTATCGAATCTCCGAACACCAACACTGCAGGAACCTTCAAATTTGGTGGAAGTTGCAATGCTCCTTTGGTTTTGCAAAAGACCGTCATCAACAACAGTAACATCCGACGGAGCAGAAGTGAAGAAGGAATTAAAGAAGAATCCATGGCGGTGGTACTTCTCAGTCTAATTTCTACTGCATTTAAATAACTACTCAGACTGTCGCACCAACAACAAAACAAGTCTCACGCAACAATCTCCTCTTGCTTTAAGCTCATTCATTGCACGCAAAAAATTGTTTCATCTAACTTCTGACTGCACGGACCTTTCATTTATGATCTCTCTCTAATTTTTTTCTATTTACATCAAAACCCTCCTCAAAACTTATGCCAAGTAACAGTTATCTCTAACTAACTGATACTGCCTCAGTTTATACATTATTATCAATTTCGTGTTTCTGGTCGACATTTTCTCTCCATTGATGAGAGGTTCATTAAATACTGAGCTGGTGTCAATCATCTTTGGCAAGTTGGTGAACAAAGCATAAATAGAGGGGTAAAGGGAAAAATATACTCCATTCGGAAGAGTCTTACGGAAAGAACTTCACATAAGATTTTGCCGATAAAACTAGTTATGCATTCAAAATGAATAATCAAAAGAGTAGATGTTACTTCACTACGCTTTTCTCAGCCTAATCTTTTCCACTTGGAATATAAAAATAAAAAGATTAAAAAAGGTTAGTTAGTAATTTAATTATTTTTTTGTTCGTGTTATATATTTGTTTTTTTATTCAAACAAATCTTCTTTATATTAAATAGAATCATGGTAGTTTTTTCTTTAAATTTAATGTGATTTTATTGACAACATTTTAACATTATTTACGTGTTATTTTTTTTTGTGATTGATTCATGTTAGGGTTTATGATTATTATTATTATTGATTGTAGAATAATTTTGGACTAATCACAAAATAACACGTAAATGATATTAAAATGTTGTCAGAAAAATATTGTGAAAGTATCATTATTCTTATTGTATGACTCTCTCCTATACCAAACAATTCACTATTAGTAAAAGGTTTAAATTGTTCAAACAAACCATCGTCATTACACTATCATAGAATCTAACCGATTTATTAACTGTCAGAATGATGAATTCTAATATTAAATAACTTAATATAAAATATTATTATTAACAATTGAATTATAATTATATCGTTGTAATAAAAATTTATTCTATAATATTTATTGTGCTATTAATATTTAAATGGTAAAACCTTTATTTGACTCTGACACTTCTATATGTACCATACAGTTTAGACAAATAGTTAAGAGACTTAAACACAAGAAAGTTTTTGAACTACAACGATTCTTTACATCCCGAATAAAAAATTTAATTAATAATTCAATTTTTATATAAACTATATATACAGATTTAATTAAATCTAAAAAATATTAAAACAAAAATAAATCGTGAAACTATATATAGAAACTAAAGAATATTAAAATGAGCGGTGCCCTACTCAGTAGGGAAAACTTTACGGTAAGAATCGTAAAAACATTTAACAGCACAGACAGAGACCCGTGCTGCCAAGGCATTACTGACTCATACTTGCAGCGGTGTTTTAGTGCAATTTTATTTTATTGATTACTCTAACATTAAAATTAAAAAAAACTATGAAATTTATATTTGTTTAATTTATATATTATGGATAAATATTCAGTTTAGTGTGTGCGTGTAATAACATAACATACTCACCTTGTTTTCTTTTGTATTTATATTTACAAAATTGTTACAACCCCGCGTAATTTTATTTATTGCGAGTGATTTGAATTTACAATTCTCAGCGACAATAAAAAGAAGAAAAATATACTTTTACATCCACTAAAATGAAATGAAAAAATAGCAATTTAACAGTCTATTTAATAATATAATGAAATCATTTGTATTTTTAATAAAAGAATAAATAAGCTTAAGAGAAATTTTTAGACTCCATATTTATATCATATAACTTGTTCATTTACTCGCCTACTGAATCTTATTATACAGCACCTCTTTCATTCAAACTTTCAATTCCACCAATTATGCATTCAATAGCTCGTCTATTACTATGTCCTTTTTTTTTCTCTGTTACAACGTCTCTTTCATAAACTATGAAAAAATTAAATTGGCAATGAATTTTTATTTTTTTTTCATAAAAGGGTGTGTTGTCTGGGAGGATGATTCTGAGTATAAACTAATTCGTATTCTCAATAAACTCGAGTCAAATAAAAAAGTAAAAAATAAAACAACAAAATTAATTAATAAATAAATCTCGTCTCTAGAACGAATAGAAGAGTCGGAAGAAAAATATCAATTTTGAAACGTAATATATTTATAATATGTAATAGAAAAATAGTATAAATTGATTTTTTTTTTGAGGTATAAATAGTTCACATTAAGAATTATTGATTTTGATTTTAATTTATTGATAAGTTTAAGTTGATATTCTCACCTACTAATTGAAGAAATATTAATTTCCTCATCTGTTCGTCCAACTGTACTTTACGGTAATGAAGAGAGTAGTTATTTTTGTTTTGGGCCAAAGTTGGAAGTGGGCCAGCTGATTCAAACGGAGAAGGTGTACGTTTGTTGACAGGGTGTTGCTCCCTCCACCCCCACACATCTTTTCCTCCACCTCCCCTTTACTATTTTGCCCCTTCCTCCACCTTTCCTTTACTATTTTGCCCCTCAGTAAAATTTTATTTTTAAAATTGTTGTTTTTTAATTTTATTCATTTATAACATATTTCACTGATAACCTACGTAGTTTCTTGTATGAGTAAAATATTTTTCTACAAAGCTTGGTGATCGTGAAAAGAATTATCAAACAATCTTCTTCTTGTTCTCGGTGCAGTACGTGGTGCAGTGCGTTTATGGTGTAGTGTCCTTGTCGTGGTTCCTCTCCAGGTACGTAGTCATAATCCTTCCAATAATCCTAAACCCTAAATCCTTCCCATACTTCCAATAATCCTTTTAATATCCAAGCCTATAATCCTTGCATGAGCCACAAAACGTAGTAAAATAAAAACGAAACGTAAAAGGAACACTGCCTATGGACGGATGACATCCTTCAACGGATGTCAACATCCGTTTAAGGAAAAACGGATGTCGACATCCGTTTAAGGCAAAACGGATGTCGACATCCGTTTTGCCTTCAACGGATGTTGACATCCATTGAAGGATGTCATTCGTCCAGAGGCAGTGTTCCTTTTACGTTTCGTTTTTATTTTATTTGTTTATTTTATTTACAGTAATTTATATTTAAATTTATAATTTTAAATGTTATATATGGTTAGTTTTTAAACGTAATAATTTTGTTAAAATATGAATTTGTTAAAATATGAATTTGTTATAGGTGGAGAAGAAGCTTAACGGAAGAGAGAAAGGTAAACGAAAATGGAAGAGAGGAAGAGGTGCAGAGGGAAGTAAATCAGAAGTTTTAAATAAATTAAAATATTAAAATAATAAAAATAAAAAATTTTAACTTTTGAGGATATAATTGTCATTTTAGAAGGATATAATTGGCATTTTAGAAAATTGGGGAGGTGGAGGAATAGACGTGTGGGGGTGGAGGGAGTAACACCCTTGTTGACACTTGTGTTCTTCAAACTTAAGTACTGTCTGTAATAAATATGCATATATGTAAAAAAAAACTCATTAAATACTTTTAAACATTTATTATATTTTAAAAATAGAAAATATTTTAAAAATATATTTAGATAGAAGAAAAATAAATTGTTTATTAAAAGTTTAAGATTACAAATATTAATTATGATTTTAATATATTATAAGATACTTATATTGATTAGTCTATAAAAAGTGTTTCAAACTGTGTGTATCACTTTCATGTCTAAATTATTAATGAATAAAAGTATTTAATGTGATAGAACAATATTAAAATTTTGTTGACTTACAAACAATATTATTACACGTGTAATCCCACGTGTTGACACACTAGTCTTTTACTCCCTTTGATTCTCTTCACCTGTCCCTCTGCTATCCCGTAACCCTTTAGGTCGAAAAGCCCACTACTATTTCAGCCCACTTAAAGACAGTAAACAGAAGGCCCATGCTATTTCAATAGCCCAACCATTCTGCTTTTGGTTATTTTGATTTCCCGAAATATCCCTATTTCCTCTCAAATCATATCCCTAAATTTTTCTGCATATTGTTCAAATATACTTTTTTGTCATTAAATATTTCTAGAACAATACAGAAACAAATTTCCTTAACAAATTATTCTTTCATTACTACAGGAAGTAAAACTTGACACTACGAAAGCTACTTCCAAAAATTAAAATATAAAATCAAAATAAGACTTTTTAGATGCTTCGATCCTAAAGAAAAAGGCCCCCTTGAGAATCCCCAAAAATGATGGTGCGTTAGTCTTTGATGAACTGAATATTCATATTCACAGCCAAGGGGTATATTTTTGTGATCAGTTACGTATATCATTACATTTTCATCACAGTAATGATATAAAATGTAATTTTATTTACTTCAGTCTGTTGAAGTATGACAATTGCTTAATATATTTTTTAAAAAGATCCTACACTTATTTCGCCGTACATCAAAACCATTTAAACCACGGGTTGTGACATAGAGTAGTGAATTCGAGGAAAAACGTGATACGGATATATAATGTAACGGAGGATAAACTTATCCTCTAAAAACATTTCTTCCTCCCAAGAACCCCACTGGGAATGGAATGAAAATAAGGGAAGATTTATTGAAAACCATTTTCACCCCATAGTTATTTCTATTGAATTTGTGATTCCACTTAATCAGATATATACAGGATATATGAATTGATCTTAACATTCCAGACAATGTTAACCTTCTGATAGTCTATAGGTATATTCAGAGCTGAACCAACGAATAAACCAGAATGAATTCACCATACATACCTATACATTTATATATACGTTCAGCGTCTATTTTATACAAGGGGTCAAATAAATTGGAGAGAAGTACTCTAAAAAAGCACACCAAGTTGAAGCACAAAAAGAAGGAAAAAAAAGGATGCACGTAAAATTAGGTAATGCAACAAACCCAATGATAAAAAGTAAAAAGGCAACCGCAGTAATTATAATCGTGAAATAGATAGGTCCGCGAAACAAATGAATTTTAAACTTGACAAGCATATAGACAACTTCATCCGCACAAATGTTTATCTGAACTCAATGAGCACTCACAAGAAATGGGTGCTGGCACACTCCACACTCAATGGTCTCTGAACCCGAGCTGGGCACCTGAACCTGAAATAACGCCCAAAACAGCGCCATATA